AAACTGACTGCACCAAATAATTTGGAACTTAATTACAGAGTTGGCTACATTTTCAAAATGCAATTTCCAAAGGCTGAGCATTTTATTTAAATCTTTCTCTGTTTATTTCCTCTAAGGACCATCAGTGGTGTTTGCAAATTTCAGTTTTAGAACCTGGTAAGTTTTGGCTATTAAGGACCAAAGGGTTAGGAATCAGGCCCAGGAAGAAGAGCGAAGTGGGGAGAAAACTGCATTCTTTTTCTCTCCTCCTTTTCTTTACACCTTCTTCAAACTGGGCCTAGCTATGTACAACTCCATGTATGTTCACCTACAAAGAGAGCTGTTAATTTCAGATCAATGATAATTATTTTTGAGTATTGAGTGTATTTCATGCAACACTTGAACAATACTTTTTTAAAATTAGTTATAGATAGACACAGTGACTTTATATTTTATTTATTTTTATATGGTGTTGAGAATCAAACGCAGTGCTTCACACATGCTAGGCAAGTGCTCTACCACTGAGCCATAACCCCAGCCCTTGGGCAATACTTTTACTAATAATAATTTATTTTCTGAAACCTAGGTTTAACTGGGGAGTCTGTATTTGTGTTTACTAATTCTAGCAGCCCAAGGTAAAAGACCAATATATGACTGAGTTATTTATTTGAAAAATAGAATCAAAGTTTCTCTCTCCAAATATCTAATTGTTTTAAATTGGAAAGTCCTAAAGACCATAAAACAATGATAAATTGGTGAAGTGATGGTGTTAATAAGCACAATTGAATCTTTCTATATTATCTACATACATCAAAACATCACATTGTATACCATAAATCTATTTTGTGAAAATGCTTACCATTTATTTTCATCAGATAAAAATAAAATTTAAAAATTAAAAATGATCAAACCCTTTAAGATCCAAAATAAATATATCTCTATTGGTGAGGAATTTGGGGCATGCTTGAAAGGTTTTTTATAATGATGGGTTGTTTTTTTTGGGGGGGGGTTGAGAAAACCTTTCTGTTTCACCTAAATTTAGAACATATAGATAGCATTTGTTCCTGATACTTACAAGCCTTGAAGAAGGAAAAGGGAAGAAAGGAGTTAGGATTAAGATATAGTAAGTATTTTATTAATTAATTTATTTTTAATTTTTCATAAATCTAAACGTGAATGAGTAAAGAGGGGAAAAGAAGGTTAACTTGTCAACTTTAATCTAAATCTTAGAATTTAGATTTTACATTTTAAAAGCTGCAATTATTTTATTGATGCATTATTGTTATACCTAATGATGGGATTTATCATTATGTATTAGTGTGTGCACACAATGTAACAATATAATTGGAACAACATCCCTCTCCAGGATTCCCCTCCCCTTCCCTCCTCCAAACCCAGGTCCCTTTCCTCTTTTCTGCTGATCTTCCTTTGCTTTGCATGGGATCACCCCTATTGCTCTTTTCCTTTTCCTCTTTAACTTCCACATATGAGACAAAACATATGACCCTTGACCACCTTACTCTGGCTTATTTCACTTAACATAATGTTATTGAGTTTCATCCGTTTCCTGAAAATTACATAATTTCATTTTTTTCTTTTTGGCTGAATAAAACTCTCTTGTGTATATATACCACATTTTCTTTATCCATTCATCCATTGATAGATACCTAGGCTGGTCCACAGTTTTGCTATTATGAATTGTGCTGCTATAAACATGGGTATGCATGTATCATGGCAGTATGATGACTTTAATTATTTAGGATAAATACCAGGGAGTGGTATAGCTGGGTCATATGGTGGTTCCACGCCTAGTCTTTTGAGGAACCTCCATACTGACATGGAATCATTGTTTGTTTCTCTATTTCTCTCACATTCCAAATCCAATCCAGTAATAAATATTGTCAACCTTCAAAGTATTAGCAGAATGTGTCCACTTCCTGCCATGTCGTCTGCTAATGCCATGGTCAACACACTGTGAGTTTTCACCTGAATTATTCCTATAGCTTTCTGTCTTAGTCTCTCTGCTTCTACCATCACCCTTTTTAGTTTATTCCCCACATAGCATCTTGATTGTTCTTGTTGAAATCTAACTCTGAAATGTCACTTAAACCACTTCTGTTATCTTCATCTCACTCAGATCAAGTCCTAATAGTGGTCTTCAAGGACAGCCAACCTCCCTGTCCCTTTTACCCTGCCTCCCTACATGAACACGTGTGTGCACACACACACACACACACAAACTCACACACTATAGTTCTGAGACCTCAACTCCCATGATGACTCTCCATCACTCTTTCTCTCCCACACTGGACTCTTAGCCAATTCTCTACTGTGTGTGACACACCTCTGCCTCAGCAGCTTTGCAACCTGCCTGCAGCAGGTATCTTTCTGACTTGCTCCTTTCCGTCCTTCAAAGTTGCATTCACATGTCTCATTCACAGTAATTGCAAACCTCCTTTTCACCCATGTTCATATTTTACTTTTCTTCTACACAGTATATATTTCTGTCTACACCCTATCTTTTCCTGGTTTATCTTGTAATTGCCTGTCTCTTCTACTACAATAGGAGCCCTCCTGTATCCCCGAGCTTACTGCTCAGCCCCTGGAAAGTGTTCCATAAAACTTTGTTGAATGAGTGAAACATTTATAGTTTTTAACAAATTGCTTTATGAATCAGATATGTAACTGAAAATAGCAGAGTCTTGAAGGTCTGGCGTAAGGTTAGCTGTCCCAGTGGGGTAACGTTTGGCAAAAGATCCAGGGCACAGTGGCAGGTGATGCAAGAGGCCAAGAAGATAGGGTACAACTGTATAGACAAAGACAATATGAGACCTTTGGATGCCAGAGGAAGAATTAGCAGGACTTTACAATTTGGCCAAGGACTGACCTTTTATATTATTACATTCCAGAAGTACTTATTGTGTGTCACTATGGAGTTCATACCCACAATTCAATAGTCTTCACTCTGGTGCTCCCATGTGATCATGTGGATCTTAGAAGAAGTTAAGATAATTAAAAGTCCAACTTGCCTTGAACTCTGGGGATCACATAATATTGTACCATGGCAAACACTCTTTCTGCCACCCTTATTTCCTTTCTGCTCCAGTCTCAATCCCCGGGTTCCTTATTACATTGCTTCAGAAAGAACTTTCTAAGAAACTAATCTAACCATGTCATGGTCTGTCTTTTAAATAGCTGGTTGTCTTGTTGAGGATAATCTCCACCGGTCCCTGCTCCCGAATCCTTATTTCCCTTCTCTTCAGTTCTTCCTTGGTCTAGGTACATTGAGCTTCTGCATATGTTTTCGGGTCCCTGCCCCTTCTTCACCCCCACCTCTAGAATGACCTCTGTTAACCTGGAAAACTTCCCTGGGCAACAAAACTCAACTCAAATGTCAACTCACTTGTGAATTTTTCTAATTTCTCTTTCAGTCATTTATTGGTCCCTAGGATTTCATAGCACTTCTCATATATCCTCCTTGCCATACTTAACCTATCATATTGTCCTGATTTGTTGGCATATCTGTCTCCCTCAGAAGACTGAGAAAGCTAGATGTCCAAATATTTTAACTCTCCCACCAAATATAGCATATGTAAGGTAAATAATAAGTGCATATTACATAAAAGAAAGTTCACGAAGCCTATTGTTGCTCCTGAACGTATAGTTCTCTGTAGATATTGGCTTTGATTTTCTTGATTCTTTATAAGAACCTCACCCAAGTCAAACCTTATAACGTCTTACTGATGTGTTCTTGAACCTTGTCTCAAAGACAGAAGAAATAAAAATGTTTTCCTGACACTAGCTCTTTCATTGGTGATCCCCAAAGGCAAGGTAATCATCAACCTGCTTACTCTCAGGATTTGCCATATTGGTCAAACCACGTCATTACATGTTGTCAGGCTTGGAGAGAATGCGTCCTTCATTTTAATTCTTTGCATGATTAAAGGCATTCAATTACCATTCAATTTAATTAAATGGATTTTATGATTTAATTTTAGTGAGGGGAAAAATGATCAGTCATTAAAATGATGATTGAATGATGATTTTTTTTATTATTGCAGTAGATAACAGGAAAGAGCCTTTGAGATAAGTTTTATAATAAAAAATCCTTCTGGTAGTCGGTAAAACATGTTATCAGTAATGAAAAAGGAGTTGTTGATATTGTTAATTAATAAGTGATGAATTAGTATGGAACCTGACACTTCATTTACCCCAGTAACACTACTCTGGGAAATTATAGAGAAGATGAGTCTGTCACTCATTACGGGAATGTTTTAGGAAGGGAGGGGAGAGAGACAAATGGGAGAGACAAGAAACAGGGAGGGTGAAGGAATGAAGGAGAAAAAAAAGAGGCCAAGATGAAGAGTGGGGGAGAGACAGGGAGGTTCAGAGAATAAAGATGTGTAAACTTCTAAGGGAAGAAATCTAAATTGTACTTTAGCAGTGAAGCAAAACTAATTGCTTTAAAGAAAAATACATGGTCTACGTTATGGCATGCTGTAGAAATATCAAAATTTATTTAATAGCACATATTTTTCTTTCCTTTTTAAAATCAATAATTGATACTTTAAGTTGTGTGTCATAATATTTTCCTTGTTGTGAATTTCATTAGGAGATTTTTTCCATTCCCTTCAGCGACATCCTTTGGGATGCTAAATACTAACCTCATAACAGAGGGGAAAAAGATTTAGACAATTAGTGCTGAAATCTTTTTTTTATAAAAGCTATTATCCGTTTGTATATTTTTCCTACAGCTTGTTGAGTTTTTTTTCCTGATCTCCGAACAAATAGTCCTCAAATCATGCACTTTTGCCCACTGGCTACAGATTTCAAAATACTCCATCCCCTTCTCAACAGGACAGACTGAAATCCAATTCTGCCACTACCTAGAGTTAGCTCAGATCTCACAGGTTAAGGGCAAAATCCATTATAATACCACCTTGCATCAGATATCACCTGGGGGCCTAAGAGCCATTCCTGCATCTAACAAAATTGTTAACTAAGAAATCATGAGGTCAAAATAAAAGCAAAGCTCATTTTTATTCAGGTACAGAATTAGAATTGCAAATCAAGAGACAGAGGTTCAGGATTAGAAACAAGTGTTTTGTGGCGGAAGAAAAGGACTGGACTATTAGGGGGAAAAATACAAAAACAATAGGTAAAGTAACTTATTTTGAACAACTTTCAAGTACCTTGTTAGTCATACACATTGCTTTGAGTGAGTTCAGATTGGTGCTAAGGTTCTGTTCATACATTAATGTATACATGCTACCTAGTTATTATTAGCTGGTTATAAGTAAGTAGTAAGTCTTTTAAAAATGAAGTCATCAGAAGTCACAGAATTGTAAACTACCTGGGGTCTCATAAGCCCATTCTTTCCAAACAGCATTTCTTTATCAGAAAGTAAAAGACTGAGGAACTTATTATATCTGTGAGATAAGCTGTGTCCTATCAGATGCAGCTCTCTGAGGCCCACAGAGAAACCTTGCTCTCACTTGACTAAACTGTAGCCATTTTAAATATTATTTCCATGCAAAGTGGCTAAAAACATGGGAGATCTCACAATGACTTCAATTCAAAAATCTACCAGAACAACTCACAAAATTTCCTAAAGAGTGCTATATTTAAGAATTACAATTTTATTACGAAAGGATACACCTGGAAATTAATCAAAGGGTGGAAATGCATAACACAAGGCTGGAGAGGGGTAGAGATTTCAGTATTTCTTTGTCATTCCTTATGGAATCCATACCTGGTTGGATTCCATAAGGAATGACTGGTTCAGTATATTAATGTTTGCACCAACCAGAAAGGCCTAGAGAACCTTGGTGTCCAAAATTTTTATTGAGGTCTCATTTCACAGGCACAATTGATTAAATTACTGGTCACAGGATTGAGTTCAATCTCTAGTCCCCTTTCACTCTCTGAAGGTCAAGCAGTCTCAGAATTCAGATTTCCTGATAATTGATTAGAATTTCTATTGACCAGCCCCTATCCTGAAGCTATCTAGGAGTCTCAACCTGAATCACACAATCAGCATAACAAACACACTCTTAACACTCAAAAATCTCAAGAGTTTTTCAAAGTTCTTTACCAGTGTCCAGAACAAAAATCACATATTTCTTTTTCTTTAATTATCTTCCAGAATAGTTTTGTAGAAATGTCTTGGACTTGGCTTTTTGAGTGTTTATTTCGTCAGTTCAATTAATATAGTCTAGAGGTCTTACATGTGCTTCTCCTCAGTCTTGGGAGGGATTGGTTCAGGGAAGTATAAGGCATAGTCTTTGTTAAATAATCTATTTCTGGAGATAAGATCAACATGGGAAACAGAATAATACTAAGAGCCACCCACACTAGACCCTTTGCATATATGTTCTCATTATATGCTCATAACAGCTTCAAACAGGAGTTCAGAGAATTAAGTAAAAACACATTATTAGATCCAAATGCCTTTCTCAAATCTGAAAGTTATTTTTTCCTCTAGTCCACATCATGATGTAGGCTGAAATTGTGTCTTGTTGACAGGTACAGGGAACTGGTATTGTCAGTAGACATGGAGAGAGAGCTCAGTGGGGTAGTGAAGAGGCCGGTATAGCTCTGTGGAGGGCACTGGACTTCAACCCAGCCTGGAAGTGTGTGTAAAAACTCAATCCAAAGAGGACTAACAGGGACCTTCTTGGTGAGAGGAACAAAATTAGAAATATGAGATATAAATAGATTTGGGGTGTTCATGGATGGTCTAAATCTCATTGCTTTAATATCTCTGGTTTGGGGGAGCTCCTTGTCCCTTAAGTGTGCTTCTTCCATTCGTCATCACTTCTCTTCTTGTTCTTCCTTGCCACCAGCCAAGTCAACCTTCTGGTAACATCTTCTTAGAGCTCTGTCTGCCCTCCATAAGAGCTTCACCAGAGAAGGGGAAAATTTCTGTCACGGTCCCTAAGTGTCAGATTAAACATTAAACACTAATTAAACACTAATTCACACAGATTAAACCAACCCAATTCTTGCCCTCTGCCTTCAGATTCTGAGTTCCCCAGCCACTGATGTTGTCTTTCTGTATCAGGTGGAGACTAGGGGAGTCTTTTGTATTTAGCAAGATTGAGGATGGATATGTGCCATTGACTAGGTGCATACATTAATTAATTTCTTTGAACCTGTTTCCTCTTCTTTGAAGTAGAAATATCAGTATATACCTCATAGGACATAGTAAAAAAAATGAATATTTGAAAATATAGGAATTTAAACAAAATAAGACAGTGCCCAAATAGTAAAATTTTAATGTACACAATAGATGATTAAGGTACTATGTCTATAAGCTTTAACTGTAAAAAAAAAAATACATAAATAAAATTTTGAAAACTAAAGAAACTTTAAATTTAATATCTTAAAGTAAAAACACCATACTAACTCATGTTTCTGTGTGTTGGTAACTGGGCTGGGCTCAGCTTGTGAGTTCTGATGATCTTTGGAAGGCTCACATGTGTTTGCAACTGGTAGTTAAAGTTCTTGCTTATGTGTCTCATGTGTCTCAGAAAGTATTCTTTGTTTCTGAACAGGTACTCTCATTGTCCATCAGCCTGGGCTTGGTTGTATATAGGGATTCCAAGGTTCCCAGGAACAATCAAGGGTATATTCAGTGCATTTGCTTTCCAAATGTGTACTTTGGACGTGTTTGCTAGTGGAAGTCCCATTGGCTTAAAGAAAGAACAACACTAGGGTTCATGGATGGAGAAGGGGAGATTGGCAGTTATCTTGCAATCTTCCCTAGACTAAATTCCCTTTTTGAAAAATATTTTAAAGGTAATAGGGAGATGGATCACTGTGTTGGAGACTGAAACTCTTTATCTCTGAGCATATTAGTGATTCTACTTGTGTGTGTGTGTGTGTGTGTGTGTGTGTGTATGTATAAGTATGTGTGTGCATGAATGTGTGTATGAGAGAGAGAGACAGACAGAGATGTTGGGCTGGGAATTAGAGGAAAGGGGGAAGGAAATGGAAAGTTGAGAAGCAACTAGGATAAAAGCTCCCTGAGGCAAGAGACTTTGGTCACTTCATGTCCACCTATGCAAGACGACCAGAAGAGAGTCCTCAGCTCAGGTCTATCCCCTTCTTCAGCACTCCATGCCTTACTGATACAATAGGGAGGAAGGGCACTAGACTTGTTCTTGGAGACTTGCTTCTTCTACATGTGCCTTCTTGCTGCACATACATGTTGAGTGCTGTCCCCAGGCCGGTACTGATCTGGATGCAGTGACTCTACTCTTTCTCCCAGTGGTCATAGACAAACAATTTTGGTTTTTCTTCTGTACTGTGAAATTATGCAGTTTAATAATACTATGATATTTCTTTGTTTTTTCCTTTTTAAAACTTACCTTACATCCTGGCTCTGTAGCTCCCAGCTTTTTGCTTTGATGGCATCCAACAGTGAGTGGAATGGAGTACTAATAAAAAGAAATGCATACATAGAGTTGATTTCTGTGAGCAAGGGTCTTCTCATAGTTCATTACATTCCATCACTAGGGGGTCTTGGACTTTTTCTTGATCAAGTAAAATACAATGCTCAATGTATTGAGAGTTCTATATCATGGCCCAGATGCCTAAGAGATTTGCCTGATGAAAATAGATCATCCTACATTAAGGTTGGGATCATGTGTTCTTCTTACTTGCACCTGTTTTCAAACAGAAAGGTTTATTAGAATGGCATTAGCAATGGAGTGTTATACCTTTGCTTACTCTTTGTGAGTTTGTTTTTTCATCAGTTCAACAATGCCTACCTAACTGCATTCTTGTAAGGAGCAGATGATATAAGTTTCTATACCTGCCAAGGCCAGGGCCAGTCTCCTTCTATGACTTTAAATATTTGTTTTATTTTCCTGCCTTCAGTCTTTGGTTGAGCTAATCAAATGGGATCATGTGGGCTAGCTGCAGCACTTCAAAATTACACAGTACAAAACTAATACTAAAATATTATTACTGACACCAGCCCATGCTATAGGAGCTTGGAAATTTCAGGAGATCCTCATGACTCAGGTGTCTCCAGCTGTGTTAGAGACAGCACTGGGGTAGGACTCAGGAGTTTTCAGGTTAGAGCTTTGCAAACTGCTCTCTTGTCCATTCACTGGAAAATCAACATATATAAGTGGAGCTGCACAAATCAAATGAATTTCTGAAGACTTAGGTAATGCAACAAAAATATACACAGAGACCCCTCATTTGAGAAGGGTACATTGAGATCATATCTTTTAGTCCAACTCTATTTAGCATATTGGTGAGGTCCTAGCCTTGGGCTTGGCATAATCTTTTGCTGACCTTTCCCCCTCTTTTATTTTCCACTTCTGGAAACAGCAAATTTTGGTTGGTAAAGGACTCTCAGATAACTCTGAAAAGCATTCCGTGAATACAAAGTTTTGTTTATTTTCTCGGTAAGTTGATTTCTCCCCTTGAACCATTTCTTTTTGAAATGCTTCAGGGAAATGTTATCATTTCTTTCTATTTCTCCAGAGAGTCATAAAATACTAATACATAAAAAAAGGCTATTTCCTGAAATGTCTTCTCTTGTCTCCTTTCATCTGAAGAGATCTGGGATCCTCAGGGTGACCAGAAATTAATCATCCACAAATGGTATTCAGACACATCCCTGGGTGCTCACTCAGGATCCATGTTTTTAAGTTAGTGCATTATCAAGGCCCAGGACAGGATTATGAGCTCATCAGAAATTGAAAGACTAATTTTATACAGCCTGTGGTGCTCAGACGTGATTCACTTCTGGAGGTGAAGTCATTGGAGTTCATAAAAAGGACAATTTCTGATCAATGGGAATCAAGCCAATTGGAACCTCCAAATCAGTCTTTGGGGATCCCAAGGATGAATGTACAATGGGATTCAGTGTCTTACAAATGAGTTTACACTGAAATACACATTTTAGCCTTCAAGGGAAGTGGGGAGAATTTGAGAGTGTGTGGGCTTTAATCATTGAAAAAGATCAGTAAATGTTTTAAGAAGTTACTTTCTAAACAGTGCAATCTATATTTATGGGTGAGAAGAATCAAAGGGTAAGTAATGAGGTAGACTTAGCATGTGAGACCTACTTGCATAGGGACCTCATAAATACAACCCTAGATGTAGAACGTGTAACCTGTTTGAGTTGAATTTTGAATAAGTCTTGTTTGATCAGCTAGGAAAGAACCCACTTAATGGCATAACTGCAATGGAAAAATGTCACATGAGGTATAACAGATGATACCATTTGTATGTGTCTCCCAAATATCTTCACTGAAGCTGAAGGCAGCTGGGAAGAATGTCTTCGTGCCATCCTAAAGATGGAGGGACAGCTTTCTTCACAGGGAGGACAGTTCCCCAGCCATTGCAAATGCTGTAATAGGAAGGATAGAAGAGGGGACAGGACGCGAAAGGGAATGTTTGCTTTTTATTACTGTAATGAAATACCTGAGGCAAGCTACTTTATAGATGAAACGTGTTTTTTGTTTGCTTTTTCTCATGGTTTAGGAAGCTGAAAATCCAAACAGCATGTCACAGACCCTGGCATTGTCCCTTCTGCCCCTGGCTGCATCACACCATGGCAGGGATGTGTATATATCTCTCTTTGTGTTCTCTCCTTTTCTTCTTAGGAAACCACCAGGCCTCCCCATCTGGCCTCCACTATGATAATCTAAGGGCCTAAGTTAATCACTTCACAGAGGTCCCACCTCTAAGCAACATAATCAGATTAAGTTTCCACCTCTAAATGTCATTAACATAAAATGTTGGGGATGAAACTCCTGTATGATTTTGAAGGGGACAAACAATATTTAAACCACAGCAAAGGGTAAATAAAAGAAGAGGTTATGGTGGGAGGGGGCAGGGGAAAGAATGAAGAAGGGGCTAGAAAGAAATCAACCAGCCACTAATAATCTGAAAGGTTGATTACGATGTCAGGTATTTGCAGTCATATTATCTCAGTTTCCTTGAGAAAGCAAATTTGTGTGAGTGAAATAACTCCATTCAGGGAAACATAGGGGAAGGAATTCTGTCTTCCTGCTTCAATAGCAGTTATAGCAAGGAGCGTTGTAAATTCACTGGGACCACCTAAGTTCTTAAGGAATTATTTTAATATCTTAACCAAAGATTCCATTTTTTAAAAGATGAAGATGTGGAATTAACAATAGAAGGGGAATGCAAGAGAATAAGGGAGTTGTAAAGGCCTAAGTCTGGGTGGTTCTGTACTGCTAGTTCTCATCTACTCCAAAAGCAGAAAAGGCCTTAACATCCTTCTAAAGTGGGCGGTCAAGGGATAAGATCAACCACTGCAAAGGCATTGAGGAGAGGTCTCAGCTCTGAGCCCTGTCTTGAGTACTTCCTTCAGCCCCTCCTTTCCCGTGACTGAGCTTGGGAGCAGAAACTATGGACTGACCTCTCTCAGTGGCCCTAACCAGCCTCCTCTTCATTTCCTCTTCAATGGAGTCTCCTCGTCATTGATCGCCCTTCCCTCTGTTGTGGAACCATCAATACACCCCGCATCATCCCTCACTACTGTCACTACTGACCTTCAATCTCCCTTTTTCCATCCAGAATCCCTCAAAATTCTCTCAGGGGCAGAAAAAGATTCAACCCTGTTCCTTGAGAGATGATGTTTCCACTGGCATCTTGAGATACTGACTTTGTACTTTTAGCTTTCTAACTGAACTGGCCCTACCGGACTCCATTTAGAATTTTGATGACTTTTTTTCCCCCCTTGGGGAAAAAAAACATATTACTAAGAATTTCCATCAAGGACACCTGTCCACCTAGTCAGTCATGAGCTGGATTTAGGAAGCTGACAAACTGAGCCTATATCATTTTTAGCCTTTATCCTGGTGGTAGACTCTACCCTGAGGATCAGAGAAGATAGGGAATGACAATATCAATAGCACTTACCACACTGGTATCTTTCTTATTACAAGTTTCATTTGCCAGCATAGTACTGAGAAAGTGTCCATCCCTAATGAAGACTACATCCTAACCTATACCTCAAGACCAGGACAGGGTATCTTGGTGATATTCTTACCTTGGAATGATTTCTCTTTTATTCCAGGGCATTCATGGACAGGTTGATGGTCACCTTTGCTTCTGGTTTTTTATTCTGCAGACCCAGTCATCAGTCCCCATATGTCCCTTTGTTTGGTCTCAGTGGGCCCACTTGGTACTCACGAAAATTGATAAAACTCAGAGAAGCCATGACTCTTGTAAATAAAAGTTAACATCCCCTTGAATGTTCATCAGACACTCAGATTTGATGGAGAATTAGATTGCCTTCGGACTGATGAGCCTTCCAAATGAACTTGTAACAAATACTGGAAACGTTTCAACTATGACTATTTGCATGTTGTTATATAGGGCAGGGTTGTATGGTAACAGCCAATGAAATAGGTATAAAATTCATTTTACAATAAGGGTAAAAATATTTCACTTGCTCAGTTTTTCTCTTTCAAAATTGACTTTTTAATCACTATAAGATTCTCTCACCATCCCAATCTCTTGATTACGCAGTGGCCCTGGAGGTCAAATATTGGTCCAGAACTTTCAGGGATGGTGTTCTGATCTTTGGGCCACCTAACTCCCATTTACCTTGTTTAGTGTCTTGTGCCCTCATGTTCCCCCAAAGGCAGGCAGAACTGCTCCTTCCTGCCATGTTTGAGCACTAGAGTGTCTTCAGATAAGTGAAACACTGGTCCCTATAACCCTACCTTCTTAAGAATCCCTCGTAACCATTTCCTACGGAGTCCCGTCACTTCCCACATCCCCACTAGATGCAACCACATTATCCTCCAATTTCAGATATTTTTTTCTAAGTCTTTCGTTGCTCTACATTCTCCATCAACCCCCGTCAGGCACTTCCTTCTGTTTCTTTCCCTGTGAGACAATTCTCCCCTCAGGAGCCTGCAGAAACACTACTCTGGATTCTGTTCCTCTTTAACAGAGAGTGTGGAGGAAGGATCCTGGAGTGATTAGCTGTTTTCTCACTTACTCATCCTGTTGTAGATAGGATACATTCTTTACCGAAATGGAACAAAATTAGATTCTAGATTGTCCTGCTGATTAAGTGTCTACTTATGAAAAATCATACCATCACATGCTGTTGAGTACCTCACCAGTATGCCCAGCTGACACTTCTCGCTCGCTCGCCTGCGTCCATGCTGCTGCATATCATGGACTGTTCTCCTTGAAAGCTCTTTTCTCTCATTCTGCCTGTCCAATCCTTCCCACCTGAACCCAGTACAAAGTCCATCTTTTTTTTTTTTTAATCAAACCCTGTTCAACTTCCAACCCATTTTCTGAATGGATAAACTCCTCTCCTTTGTCTGTATCCTCAGGGGGATTTGCTATACCTGAAGTATAGTGTGCATCTTCTTCAACCTTAGTTTGTCAGCACATGTGTGGACATTGTGCCTATTTCATTGGTTTGTAAACACTTTAAGAGTAGAGCCATGTCTTGCTTTCTTTTGTGTCACCCCATGGTGCCTAGAAACTAACTGAACTGAATTGATGCAAATAAGTTGTCCCCTAACCGTGACCAGTGTGTAATATGACACAAAATATATATGAATGGTACAGAAAGTGGATGAATAATACAATTGAAAGAAATCTCGCGGGGCAGCCCAGATGGTTAAGATGAGTGCTATGAGCAATGACTGTTCTTACATCTTCTGGTGGTAAAAGACAAAGCCCAGAGCAAGCTGAGGGCATTGGAGAAGGCTGCATCGGTATGTGTGCATCTTCAACTGCATGTCGTTTCATCATGAAACTTTGAATGAGTGTAAAGGAAGGGAGATAACAGTAGGTATGAGCATAGGGAAGGTTATGAAAATAACTGGCACCTGGGGGTTGATTTGGATAGACAAAAAAGACCCCCTAGTGGTTTCTTATGTTTTCATCAAACCTTACACTTATAAAATGCTATCACATATGTTATTTTGTGTGATACCATCTACTGACGTCTATAGGCTGAATTACACTATATTGCAAATAGCATTATAAAGGAGATTCACTGTGTACAGCCCAAAATACATTTAACTGGTAATAGTTATGTTTGGTACCAAATGTGAAGATGATGATAATGATACTGCTGATGCTAATGATACTTATTGAATGCTTACTGTGCACCCACCATGTGTAAAATGCTTTGCATACATTAATACTAATCTTCGCAACACCTTCAAAGTAGAAATTCCAAACCATTCTGAGAGTGATAGAGATGAAGTCGTTTCTCCATATCATACAGCTGGTGTACTACAGAGCTGGGATTCATATTAGGTGTATTGCATTCCAAACGTTAGTCATTTTTTTTTTCATTTCTTGAGACTCAAAGGCCAAGGACCAAGCAAACACAACAAAGAGGAGAGCACAGATTTTATCTCATGATAAGTACTTAATTTGCACTTCTGGTAGAGTATAAATGTATGTATTAACCAGCTTAAAGGTCACTGCAATGTAAAGCCATTACATTTACTTAGTGCTTCATCCCATTGGAGAGTGCAGATCTGTGGGCTTAGGCAATTATTTTCTTAGTTAATGACTTAATTACCATCCCAAGATTTAATCTTGATGCTCAAATCATCTCCCCCTGCTAACTCTGTTTATGTTAGAAATGCAAAAACACACTTCCAGGCCCTGACCTTTAGTGGCTGCTCAGGGTTCCCCTGTGAGAGTGTCCCCAGTATGGGACATTTACCTGAAGGTGAGACAAACAGTGGAAACCCCCATGACCTCCTTCGCACAGGGATTGAAAAACCTCTTAGCGATCTCCACAAATTTATGTTTGCTGTTGGAAAATTGCTTTGGGAAATGATGTGGATCACAGAAGTAAATTTCCTGTCAAGATAAACTTTTGTAGTGAGCAAAGCAGAATTTGGGGGGAAAAAGAGATCCCTGGGTGTTTTATCTCATTTTTATTAACATTCTTTAATATTTACCGCAGTCGTACTTTGTGAGCCAAGCTGTTAGTGGAAAAGCATTGAACTACAGAGAAGATTCCGAAATTTCTCTGGAGACGATAGCTTCAGTCTCATTTTACAAATAGAGGCTGTTGGTGACAGATGTGCTTCAAAGACCTGGCAGTAGTTAAAAGAATTAAGGTGAAAAATACAATCCTTAAAACCCCACCACACAGATACCGGGATTCATTGCCTCTGGACTGGCCCAGATTCTTCAGCCAGTTTCCAGAAATTGCTGTTATGCAGTCTGCACAGACGGTGGAGTGCTTGGACAAGGAAGGGAGGGGAGGAAGCTTGGCAGCACCAGCTTGGAGCACGAATCTTCTTTTCTTTTTCTTTCTTTTTTTCTTTCTTTTTTTTTTTTTCCCAAAGAGCTGGGCCTGGTAGAAAATGAACACAAAGCCAGGTGCCTTCCCTATCTTACATCTGCTTCATCCTTTGGGTTGGTGACCCTGGAGACGCAGGTGGAGCCCAGCAGTCTGCTTGATGCTCCATGTGTGGCTGAATTGTGCTGGAGTTCAGGGCTGCTTGGCTGTGGGATCCAAGAATGTTGTCTCACAGGCTGACAGATACAGGACCATAGGGGAAAAGAGTGCTTGAAGGCTCAGAAAAGTGAATGACGCACTTTCAGTGGCAAGGATATGGTGCATGGGTGATTGTCAATGAACCAAGCTGGACTTCTGCTTCCACTTTCTTCCCGGAGTCTCTGTTTAAGTTCTCAGAAGATGGAGCAGGTATATGCTGTATATGGGGAGAGGTACGCTCAGAAAAAGAAGACAGGGGTATTGAATCTGTTGATAGAAATGGGAAGAATCATTATGTTAAAAAAAAAAAAGCAGAAGAGGAGGAAGAATACAGTCATCGGAGGCAGATCTTAGAACATCTGCTAGGGAAGGCCCTGTATGAGGGTATCTTTGTCACTAATGTTACTTGACCCCCTTCTTTACTAATGCTCTCTGACCCCAAGGACAGAGAGCCGTTGTCTCCCCTTCATTCCAATTACTGTGCTAATTATTCTGTACTGATACTTCTGCTACTAAGCACCAGTCCTGCTCTTCCCTCTGTAGAGATAATTCCTGTATGACAGTTCTAGTGTTCTCCTGAATTGAACCTCTAAAATTCCAGGCTTGGAACACATGTTTGTCTTCCCACTGACTTGGGAGGCTGAGGCAAGAGGATCCCAACTTCAAGGGCAGCCTTAACAACTTAGGAAGACCCTAAGACAAAAAACTAATAATAAATAAATAAAAATGGACCAACGATGTAGCTCAATGGTACAGCCACCCTGGGTTCCATACCCAGAAATAGATAAATAAATACATAAAAATTAATTAATTCCCCTCTTAAAGCCTCTGTTTAGTTTACACTTCTAGAAATCAATAGCTCTTCATGCCATCACTTTTCCCAGGCTTTATTTTTTGTAAATACAACACGTGAACATGTTGGTGAAAGAATGGGGCCAGGATGATTGCTGGTTGAGAATTTATTATTGGGCAACATTTTGGTAGACTTGATATGCATAACCTGATAATCAGCTAATCTTCCTAAAATCCTGCAAGGTGTATGTGTGTGACCACTCTAGAGGTGGAGACAGGAGGTTCACAAAGCTGATGTGATCACCTGCCCTCAGGCATTTGGACCTCTTGAGTCAGACTCTATTCCGTGGGGTGGAAGGGAGTCAAGGGTAAGATGTCCTGTTATAGAGCTAGCGGCCTTCTTTCAGTTTCACGGCCTCCCTGCCTCATATGTGCTCAACAAAGGAGTCATGTGGGACTTTATTCAGAATAAAAAAAAAATCCTGACTAATGGCAGGAATTAAATAAGAGCTTAGAACACATGGCCCTAGGCAGCCACACTGCAGGTAGCCAATTACACAGCTCTTGTCACCACTACCCTAAGAGTTCACAAACTAAGAGTTTGCCTTAAATCCTTGCATAGGACCTCACAGCTTTGGAGATTCTGTCACTCACATTATCTCATCTGATCCTAACCAGATTCTTAGGAAATAGACTGAGCAGGGATTATTTTCTGAATCTTATAGTTGAGGGAATTGAGGTCCAAAAGGTGATGATTTATCTAAGCCAGTAAATGGCATAGACAGTACCAGGGCTCTGTCTATTAATTCCATGCCCAGTAGTTGTTTCTTTTGTTTTGATTTTTGTTTTTAATATGCCATGAAGCCTGTAAATAAAGACAATTCTGGAATGTGCTGAGTACAGGAGGGGTTGAGGAGATCAAGTTCCCTAAATGAAACTGTAGCTGTCCAAAAAGTCTCTGAATTCTAGTTTTTATTATCAACTGCCTTCTCAAAGCCTCGATTGGTGACCTATGCTTTTACCGTTTGCTCTTGTCTCTTCCCCTTGTCAATCAACATCCTGTTCAGTGTTTCCCAGCCCTCTTATCATTATCACCTCCCCAAAATCAGATGTTTTCCTAGTTACTCCCACACCCTGAATTTTAATCCCACACATACATTATGTAGTTTATGTACTATATGTATATCTGTGCATTATATATACAAACCAGTAAGGGTTTTTCTTTTTCCACCCATAAGAAAAAATTCTGCTCCTCAGTGCAATATTGTCCCCGTTGAGAATGTATGATAAAGCTCATTAACTATGAATTTGAGTCAAAAATAAATAAATAAAAGACAGACTGATGGTTGGAAGGTAAGAAGGGAGGGAGAAAACAAACAACAACAAAACACACCAGCAAAGACACAAGTAAAACACTAAAGAGAAGACAGTTCTCAGTTCCCTGACATTTAATGCTTTCTCTGGAGATATAGATTCATGTATTGAGGTTTCACTTTAGGCAAAGCGTTCCCGATATTCCCATCTCCAGCTGGAGCAGAGCACATACTAATCATTCTATGGATGAATCACAAGAAGAGTGTGCTTTAGAACAGAACCAATTTTGCATATGTATGTACAAAATAAAATGCTCCCTCTGACCACACAGTTCTATTTATGAGGTTGGGGAGATCTCTAAGGGAATTGGAACCTACCCTTGGTGAAAGTTTGATAAATTCACCACTTTGCCTGTTGATAAGTGATAGCAAAGGAGAGTGTGTTGGAAATGACCCTTAACTTTCCTTTACCTTTTCAACTCCATACCCTGACCACCAAATCAAAGAACTAAAATCCACTACAAATAGACACTACAGACACTACACAACCTAAGAAAGAGACACTACACCATAGACATAAGAAAGAAAGTCCTGCACAAGTGAAATTGACTTGCCCAAGGGTCAGGAACAAATTGGCACAATGAGAATGTAGATTCTACCTCTTGATACAAGACCTCCTCTCCCAAAAGAGAGGGTCAACCTCAGATATAAACTTCTTCCTTTGTATTATTTTCTCGAATAGCATCAAATCATGATTCTTGTACACAAAGGAAAATCTTCTCAAATGCCAACCCATCTGTTACAATGGGAGATATATACTTAGTGTCCTGGAGGCCTGTATGATTTAATATTGCCAATATTAAATAAGTCTGGGAGTTTGATAACAATTGTGAGCTGTGTAGTGGCTTTTCTCTCTCAAGAATTGACTACTGACAGCAAATAGTTCAGGGGGGAAATGAGTTTTGCTGTCTCACCAAAGACCCACACACATGGACAGTGCTTCCATCAGCTGGTCACTAGCCTTCAGTTCTTATGAAAGTGGGAAGATGGTGCCAAACCCACATGTCTAACCAGATGTGTGTGCAGATTCGCATACATATTGCAGTGATGGCGTAGATTTTCCAGGGATGTCTGACCAGAGTGGGAAAGTCCAGCCAGTTAAGAACCAAAACAAAAGTTAGTGAGTGCTGTCTGGCCTAGCTGGAAAGCTATGAAGGAAGATGCATGTCTCTCTAGCACCTCCAGACCCCACACTCTTTCTCCTTCGTCCTCTCCTTTCTGGCTCAGTGCTTTCAAGAACTCAGATTTGGGGGTATTATCTTATTACAGAAAAAAATGTAGGGAACATGGCTTTGGAGAGCAACATCTCAGGTACTTACAGTCTTAGCCCCTCCCTTGCTGCAGGACTTTATTGTATTTATGTTTTGTTTTTTAAATGACATTTATGTATCCTCTTCCATGTGTCACTCACTGTTCTAAGTACTTTACAAAGAATGGCTCATTTAAATCTGATTTAGTTCTTGCACCAACCCTTTCTCCAATCAGAAAGGTGAAGAAGCTTGCTAAAGTCACTCAGCCAGAATTTGAACCCAAGTTCTGCCTCCTTTAACACATATCACCATAGTAAGTGACTTTGGGCAGGTAAGGTACATTTTTAATATGAAGATGCTAATACTCTGAACAAGGAAGAATGAAGGTTGATCACAAGATTCAAATGAGAAAATGTTAAGGATTTAGGAGGTTGCCAAGACCTTAGTAACTTAAATATAATAAACACTCCTGTGGATGGGGGAATTGCCTTTCATGAATGCACCAGGAAGAAATAGAGGCATCTTCTGTAGACTGTCATGGTGACTCTGGTAGAACTCTGATAGCACAGTCCTCTAGCTGGTACCTCACCTTCACAGGTAAAGTGTTTACAAGTTAAACGGTTCTGTCGATCACTCAGTGACTATTTGCTTAATCCCTAGAAAAGAAATGGTATACTACTTTGATTAAATGAGTTGAGCAATATCAGTAGAACTTGAAAAGTTTTCTATAGGTACATTTCAGTTACGATGCAGTGTCTCCTCTTCTTCCCTACACTGTTTGTCTGTTTGTGTTTTTGAAATAGTTTGCAAAAAAAAAAAATCAATATGAGACTCAAATAAACATGGCCTGGACAGCAAGCAGAGGAGGGAGGCTGAATTCTAAGAAGGACCACTATTTTTAGAGTAAAAAAAATTTAAAAACCTACAGATTGCATGGAAATATAGATTTCATTGAAAATGCAACCACCATGGAGTAGACAGTGACACAAAATCAGAGTGTGTGGTTGTTCTACAGCTGAGGAACAAAGGATCAAACTGCCCTGGCCAACTGAAGACAGATTATGTATTATTCTAATAACTGTGTGTAACTTGACTTTTCCAGACCTTTCTATAGCAGACTAATCTAGCTCTTGAATGCTGCTGTGCTTTCTCCCTTTTATTCAAGGCTGCCTACAATATCTCTGAGTTAGAGGTCCCTGACACAGTGTTTGCAATATTGAAGGTTCTAAGTTGACAATAAACACACTAATGGTAAACACCTAAAAATGCATAATTTTTTAAAAAAGGAAATTGGTTTAAGGAGGTAAAATATACTGGAAGATCCAATGGATTTGCTTTTAAGCACCATAAACTGTTGGTGGATCTGTTCTAGGACATGAGCATTTGCGTCTGTTGTTTCATGTAAGGGGAACAAGACAGGATCTCCTGTCCAAATATTCATCACCCAGCTGTTTTAGTGCATGAACTTCTAGCATTAGAGTGATTTCCTTAAGGCTTTCCCCTAAAGACCCTTATTTAAGCAGCACAAAAATCTCTTTTCACAACTCATCAATCAACATCCTACTAGGATTTAGTTTTCACACTCTTGGAAGAGCTTGTGGGAAAGCTGCTGATGGCAGTGGGCTGAATGGAAAGGGAACATTTATTATGTGTTGATGATATTCAGAAAGAATTGATATCTTTTTGGACGTCTCCTGAGCATCCTGGAGGCTTATGTGGCAAAGAAATGAGTGTCAGGTATGGGGTGGGTATGGGGGGTGGTCACAAAAAGGGACAGAGGAAAGACTATGGTGACAGACTTAAGAATTTCTAGACTCCAGTTGGAGGAAAAGATGTAGAAATGTGGGCACTG